CCTGGATGGCTGGGAGCTTTCTACAGCTGAATGAAGATAAGACTGAGATCCTCATCTGTGCCCCAGACAAGCTGGTTCCCAAAGTCAGAGACTCTCTTGGTCAGCTTGCTTCTCACACCAAACCTTCTGTCAGGAATCTTGGCGTGACCTTTGACCCAGTTCTCACCCTGGATTCTCATGTCAGTTCTCTTGTTCGCTCTTCCTTCTTCCATCTCAGGAACATTGCTAAGCTGAGTCCCATTCTGTCCCGCTCTGAACTTCAGACAGTTCTCCACACCTTCATCTCCTCACGCTTAGACTACTGTAACTCTCTTTTCACGTGTCTGAGCAGAACCTCCCTGAACCGTCTACAGGTGGTTCAGAACGCCTGTGCTCAGCTTCTGACCAAGTCCTCCAAACACACCCACATCACCCCGCCTCTCCTCCAGCTTCACTGGCTGCCAGTCAACTTCAGGGTTCATTTCTAGATCCTGGTTCTGGTCTATAGGGCCTTACATGGACAAGCACCATCTTACATTGGTGATCTTCTTAATCCCTACACCCCCAGCAGGTCCCTGAGGACCAGTGATCAAAGCCTACTGGTTGTGCAGCACCAGGCTAAAGGTCAAAGGTGACAGATCATTTGCTGCTGTGGCCCCCAGACTCTGGACCTCTCTCCCCCTGAGCCTGAGATCAGTGGACTCAGTGGTCTCCTTTAAAAAGCAGCTGAAGACTCACCTGTTCAAGCTGGCTTTTGTATGACCTTCTTCACCTCTCTCTCTTTATTCTGCTCTCCCCACCTATTCCACCTTCCTCAGGATCCACTGATTTCCCTCTTTCCTGTTCACTCTCTCTCTTTCTTAACATTTTTTTTAAATCACAATTGCCTATTTTTCCTCATTTTAAATATATTTTTTAAACATTTTCTAAATGCTTTTTTATATTTTTACATTTATTTTTTTGTTTTTGTGAAGCGCCTCGTGATTTTTATCTTGAGAGGCGCTGTAGAAATGATATTTTCTTCTTCTTCTTCCTAATATCACACTGGAGTGTCCTCACACGCCCATGAACCCGTGTAACTATGTGGCACGTTCACTCAGCAAACAGGAAGCTGAATCTGTGCACGTTTCCGGGTGAAGTAAATAATAATTAATCTTCTCTTCAGCCAAATTAATGCAACCTAACTTCCATCTTTTCTGCCAAAGGGATTTTTCCTTTTGTGTTATTCTATTTTAAAGTGACATTGCACCAATCAACAATCCTGTCTGTCTCCAGGAGGACGAGAGTGCGGGCTGACGTCTTTCCTGTTGTTGCGCCGTGGTCCGTCTGAGTTTGGTGTTGTGTTAAAGATCCTCCGAGATTCTGCCGGTGACTCTAATCGTGTCCTGTGTGGGTTAGGAGGCGAGCCCTGGTTTTGTTGAGCCAAAGGTCAAAACTGCTGTTATTATGGAATCGCTCGCCTGTCGGTCTAAATAAAAGGTTTTTAGATGGGAAAACTTGTTTCAATGTTTTCTTGGTGGGAGAAAATGTTTTTCCCAAGGAAATGTCTGATCAGTCCAGATAAATATAATTAAAAATGGGAATCCTCTTAAAACGAGCCAACTCCCAACCCACATTCCCATCCTCATGATTGTTTGCTTAGTTTTTTTCTCCACATTTCTTATTTATAATTTAAACCCACATCCAAACTAACCAAAATTCTGAGATAATAAAGTCTCCCTCGAGTGTCGGAGCTTTTAACAAGAGAAAGGTGATTTGCTGCGAGAGCAAAAGTTAGAATTTTCTGTTTTTTCTTCTTTTTTTTTTTTTGTCTTTAAACGTTAAAAGATTTCTATAATTACAGATGCAACAAAAATCAGCGGGTGATTGGAATAAGCGAGTAGTCAGTTTATTGGGTGATTGACCTTATTGGAAGAGAAAAGAATATTTTTTTTTGTTTCTGTCCATTTCTAATTAACATTGCAAGGCACCAGTTGACACCTGCAGTAACAGGTGTTTCCCGTGGAAAGGTGTACCTCTCGAATAGGGCTGCAACTAACGACTATTTTAATAGTCGACTAGTCACCGACTATTGAAACGATTAGTCGACTAATTGGATAATTCTTAAATTTTTCTTAAATTTAGCATGAGATTGCTTTAATTATGTGAAAAATAATAATAAACACAAGGAAGATGGGTACTTCAATGGAAAATGCATATTTTATTGAACGTTGCTGCTGATCGGCCAATTCATACTAAAAGTAAATAAAAATACCCTGTCTTACACCAATTAGGCACAGTGCTCAGTCAGTACAGTCATAAATGCGTAAATAAAATTAAAATACTTTTGTCAGACCCAGTCGGACATAACATTAAATCTCTTTTTTAAAAGCGAAAATACGTTTAAAAAAATTTACATCTCAAACAAAACATGTTGGCTTTCCTGTTATTTAAATCTTACCGAGGTGAGTCAGACTCTGGTTCATTCAACTGTCCGACTTGCTTTCTCTTTAAGTGTTCATGCATCACCGAGGTGCTGCCGTGATACGCGAGGACTGCTTTGCAAATAATTCAGGTCATCTTTTTATTCGCCGAATCCAGGCTGGAATGCTCCCAAACTTTAGATGTTTTGGTACGCGTAGCTGCTGTGTTGGACATTTCTGTTAGTTGACGCTCAGCAGAGAAGCTATTGTGCATGTGCGACACTCGGCAGAGATTGTAATGAAGTGAGATGCCTCACTCGGTCGGAAAAAACACGTCTGATGACAACGTCGACAATAAAATTCATTTTCAACTATTCCCATTGTCAATATTTGTCGACAACGTCGACGAATCGTTGCTGCCCTACTCTCGAATCATCATTTTTCTGTTGATCAGAAATAAAAAATGCACTGGTGATCATCGTTCTTTGAGAAAAATCTAAATGGTTTCTTTAACATGCTGCAACACCCTTGTAACTGGTCTTCCAGTCTTTACTGTGAGCCTCTATAGATGGTCCAGTACAAAGTGGCACAGCTATGCCTCTTTTCCACGGCAGGGTTTGGGACGGGGTGGAGCGGGTCATCGTCGGCCGGTATTACGTCCCCGGCTCTCTAGGAGAGATGAGGAGGGGAGTAATAAAATTGGTGTGTGGGATAAATAATAAAGAGTGCTGTGTCGCTAAAAAAGCAAGGGATTTATTACAAAATGAATCTTTACAACATTAAAAGGAATCCCTTTATACAAAAACAAAAGGAGCTTATGTAAGAAAAACGAAGGGGAGAACGGAAAACACCAACCCAAAAGGGGATGGGAATAAACACAGAGACTAAGAAGAGCGAGGGTGTTCCAAAGTCGAAGTCTAAAGCCGGTCCGAAGTCAAATAGCCAAAAGATCTAATTCTAAATCCAAATATCAAAACAAGTCAAAATACCAAAGTCTACCAAGCAAACAAGTTGTACCAACAGCGAACGAGGAGAAGAGAATAGTACAAACTCTGCAGAATCTATACCACCCTTGGACCTTCTCAGAAACTATGGGCAGGAGAGCAGCTTTTAACAGCTGCTCCCTGATTAATGATTCCCAACAGCTGGGACTGGGAGACGGGCGAGGCAGAAGCCACTGAGGCCATCTTGTGGCCAAAAGGGGCACGGCACGTAACAGCCGGCCTGGACCGGTATGGGTCTGCAATTTCAGGCGAGCATTTCTGTCTCAGTTTGGCCTCTCACTTGACATGAGGGGTGAAATGTACCATCGCGCATCATTTCAAGACGTTTAAAGGTGCATTATGTAGAAATGAAGTGAATGACATCCTGTGGTGAAATCTGGTTACTGCAACCTCTTTAAACAACTCTGGAGCTCTTTGCTGGCCATTGTCAAATCACAATAGTGGGGCCTGCAGTATTAGCTCGCGGGAGACACGGCACCCCCACGCTCACTGATGGTAAACGGTAGTTACGTCCCGTCTTTCTGTGTTCTGAAAGGGGAAAAACTGACCATCCCCGCAGCCAGCTGGATATGAAATGTTGCAGAATAACCTTCCTTCCAAAATGACTGAAACATTACTCTTGTAGGATTTTCTCACTGTAACGCACTATATTCTTACATACTTCACCTTTAATAAACAAGTTGTGCAAATATTCAGAATTTGTGTGCTGCAGTAAAGGCTCTGCAGAGCTAAAGACAAAAAGAAATGCATACCAACAGGCTCCACGTAACTTGTGGTTGCTGAGACCACGCCTGCCTGCTCTGAAGTGCCTTTTTTTCCCTCCACCTGAACCAATCATGTTACCCTCTTATCTCTATTAAGGTAGCGCGACTCAGGGTTGTGAATGACCACAGTCACCAATTCTTGTCATGTGTCTTGCCCATGTATGTCTGATCTCTGAATTGTGTGTACTGAAACTCTAATTTCCCTCTGGGATTAATAAAGTGTCTTTGATTGATTTGATTTGCTGGTCTGTGGCATGCAGCGCGTCTTACAATCGCCGCTAATTTCTCCATTTCCACTCCAGCAGTGGCTGTGCTTAATTTTTCTACATTTGACTTTTGATTTCTTCAGCTTGGCCCAACACCGTTTAAGGTTTGCTCGGATCCTTCAGCTGCCATCCGCTGAAAAACCTTCCTTCCTTACCTTTCCGCCTAGCTCATCCTGAATGTGGCCATCGCTGACGATGGGGAGGAATGTGTGGAGCTCTGAAGCTGACTAAACATGCTGGCATCTTCTCACATCCATGTACAACTAATGCAAAAGCAAATATGGAGTTCAGCCTGTTTACAGTCACCATGGCTCTGTGGCTGGTCCGTGTGTTTGGCTGTCTGGCCTCCCACTGAAATTATTTGGTGATTTTAGTCTTTTCTTGCAAGGGAAATCATTAAGCGCCCTCTAATCCCAACATAAACAACTTGTAACTATTATTAAAATCTAAGTGGTGATTATGTGCTTTTGAAAAATGAAACGGAAATATTCAGATTTGTAAAAAGAAAAAGCTTCATTTGTACTTTTCTGCTCGTGTAGTATTGATGTCATTTCTATCCTTGTGTTTATTCTTGGTGTCTGCCAGAGCCTGGATGAGCTGGACGATGACGATGACACGGGGGTGAAGGACAGAAGGGACGAAGACGAGCTGGTCCTAGCCAACACGTTCCATAATGAGGCCATGACAGCCGACCCCGCTGCTGGATACATACTGGTAAAAAGTTCAGACATGTTGGTTTTATTGTGTTTGTTGGTCAGAATCCATCAGGTTGTTGCTTCTGTGCTGCCAAACAGAGGCATTGTTGCACAGGGAGACACCAGAAGAGCTCAGGAGCTGGTTTGGTGTCAAAAGGTGTCTCAGTGTTGCTAAGTGGTTACAAGCAAGAAGCCACGTGGTCTTCCAACCTTTGGTGGTATAATCATCTACCCTCTAATGGAAAAACAGCTAAATATTTCCATAATAAACAGTCTTAATCTGATTTCTAAAATATCTACATATATTTTAGCTGTTGTAATGATTTAAATTACATGTTATTTAATAAGCCATAAGGCGTAGGATTCCATAGGAAATATTCAATCAACCTTATGGATCTGTTGGGTTATTTTAAACCAGAAGATTGGAACTTTTTATTGCAGGGATTAGATAACAGCTTCGTATTCACTCAGAGACAACAGACGAGAGAGTCGAGCTTAAAAGTTTAAAGATTTATTGCTAAACAAATTAAACTAGACAAACTTTAACACTAAATGTATGGTGTTACTAAGGTGAATGAGACGGAGAATGGTGTGATGTGGAATGTTGTTCAGAACCAGCAAATCCGAAGAAGCGATTAGTTCTGATGGGAAATGAAGGTGATGTCTTCGCTCTAAGCTTTAGTTAGGAGATTCATAAACACATTCAATGCCATTTGCTGGTCTACCCGTAGCGGAAGTCACCGTTGAGATCAGTTAAAGTTAAAGTACCATTAGTTGTCACACACACTGATGTGTGTGCGAAATTTGTTCTCCGCATTTGACCCATCCCCAGGGGGAGCGGTGAGCTGCAGACAAGCCGCGCTCGGGAACCATTTGGTGGTTTAACCCCCCAATCCAACCCCTTAATGCTGAGTGTCAAGCAGGGAGGCATTGGGTCCCATTTTTTTCAAAGTCTTTGGTATGACCCGACCAGGAATCGAACCCTGATCTCCCAGTCTCAGGGCAGACACTCTACCACTAGGACACTGAGCTGGTGGTGTAGTGGTCCAGCGTGACCTTTATGGAGCCGGAGCCTGTAGAAACAGCCACGGCAGCCGACCACCAGTCTTGAGATACTTCCGGGTCACGAAAATTTTGTTGGCGTCTGGTGAGACCCAAACCTGGGTCTTGATGGTTCAGCTTTTATTCTGAAAGGAACCGTTGCAGCGGTTGGAACATATACAGATTTTATCCAGCTTGTCGTTGGTTCTTTTGGCTGAAGAGGAAAGTTACGGATTGGCCACTCCGTCAACTTCTCTAGAACGCTTTGAACTGGCATTAGAGATGACGTGGGCATAGTTTTATACTTCGGATGTTTTGGTTTATGGTCAAATGAAAAGATGACAGATTTACCAAGTACCACCAAAACCACGCCTCCGTCAGATCTGGCAGATTCTGGTTGGATCAGTAAAACAATGTGTCATGTTTTTTTAATGCTACGTGAGATCAGTCCTAGTGGAAACCTGTAAAGTCATATAACTTAATATATTCTATAGGATTATAATAAAGTAATTAATATTTTGATTTCACAGATTGGTCACATCTTATTTATTGACTAACACTTTGTTTGATTAGCTTTATTAAAATAGAGTCCTTTGATTAATTAAAAGGAGAGAGTCCTTTCTTCATTCTTCTGTTGAGCTGAAAAGAAGCAGTTTTATAACAAATGCATGAGACCTTGAGGCCATATCTCATGCAGACTAGTTCTGTGTCAGAGGAGAGGGGGAAATGACTTTTGGTGGCAAACAGTCATTTCATTCTGTTTAGTTGATCTGGACTGAATAATCCATCAAACTGTTTCTGAAGGCCTGTTTCAGCTCTGACGGTGTGCGAGAAGCAATGAAGAAAATATTTTCCTAAAGTTTTCCCAACAGAGGTGATGATCTAATTAAATAATAACATTTCCAGAGACTGACTGCTCTTCCTACTAATAGAAGGAAGCATGAATGAATAAAAAACTGCCTGCAGTATTCCTCTGAGTTACGTTCCCAGAGATGTTTATACGCTGGAAAGCAGCATGTCATTTCAGGCCAGCTTCAAATGCACTCGCACTGATTTCCGATAAGAAACGGAGCACAGAAAAGGTTTGAAATGTCTCCAGCTGTGTAACGTTGACAAAAAAAATCCTTTGTTTGTATTCCTGACTGACATGAAAATTGCTGTTTCAAAAGAAAAAAGCCGAAACATCAGATGGATCCTCCGCCGTGTGATAACTGTGTGGATGAGGGCTGGCTCCAGATGGATTGGCTGTTGTGCTTCAGCAGGCTTATTTTGTTTTGGGCTGGAACTGTCTGAGGCTGTTTACACGAAGCGAAGGCTTGCATATGAAAAACGCACATGAGAGCCACGCTAACAGCAATATTGTGACGGTACCTGCTGAGATGTGGTGTGGATAAGGAAGAGTCAAAAACACGAGATTTGACTATTTAGATGGAGGAAACAAACAGCGACTGAACCTCTTTAGCTTTGCTACACATCTGGTTCATCTGCAGGAACTCGTTTGAAACATTTGATTTCACCGTTTCTTTACACAAAACAGATGCAGCTAGCCTGGACTATCTGATGCCACTGATTTAAAGCAGATTTTTATCTTGTTGCAGGTTGTTCAGAAGCAGCAACGATGCATTTTCCCAGAGGGTTAACCACACAGTTGTCAGTCTGTCGCGTGTAAAATCAGAACGGGTTGTTCCTGACAGGACCCACGTCTCACGAGGAGACAAGTGATTGCTAAGGCAGGCCCACAATGACTTACAGCACTGGTTTCCTCACTGGAATGAAGACTTCTGCACAGGAAGTCTTCAAAAGAAGCTCAATTCCTCGTCTCCTGGGGAGTGAGTGGCTTTTAGCCGTCCCTCCAGGTTTCAGAGCATTCTCCAAACAAAAGTTAAGCCAAAAACCTGCAGGTCAAACTGAAGTCGAATGCAGGTCATTGGAATAAAATATCATATTTTCGATCATGGATAAACAATTCTGAACAGTTGTGCAGGATTCATGTCATGCATTTGTGCAGGCATGTGGTCCTGGTTACCGTGTAAAAAAAAAACTGTTTCTCTGATTCTGCTGCCAGAAACCTGCAGAACATAATTCTGGATCTTCAGAGTTTCGTTTGTGCCTGATTTCTGTCTCCCCTGGAGCAGGAAAGGTGCTGATGATATAAACCTAGCCACTTTAATGTAACATTGAGCAGTTTCCTGCTCCTCTGCCCTGCTGGTTCAAAGTGGGATTACAACTGTCGTAGACAACCCTGCTGTAGCTAGCACTAACAATGAGCCAACGCTAACATGAGCCAACTAATAATTAAATAAACCACAAAGTAAAAAGATCCACACTGCTAGAGAAAAACATTATTACTTACAAGTCCAGTAGCAACAAAGCCAGGTCACCATCAGTCCGTGATTTTGTAGCCTCCTTTAACTCGTTCAAACTAGCGTAGGCTGCACCGATGTTCACTCTGGTTTTAGCTCTTTGCTTCCCCTTTAAAGACATTATTGTCTTACTTTTACTTCCAGGCTCTGTCATTATGCCAATAGAAAAGCAAACTTCCTTTTCTTCTTCTGCTTTTTAATGACCATCGGCAAACTGAAAAAGCTAACTGCTAGCATTAAAGCTATCAGTCATGAAGCAGATAGAGTGCCCCCGCCTTCCTGCTCCGCTAAACTGTTCAGTATCTGGCCAGTAGATGGCGACAAAGTGGTGTCAGGTGTGAAACTGGTCAAGTTTATAACGTTAAAGCTCTAGATTAGCGTTTTAAGAACAATTTAGTGTTACTTAATGAGCTAAATCTGTATTTTTAATGACCACCTTTCAGTCCAGACGTGGTGCTGATGCAGAACGTTTTCTATCAGCCTCGTGATATTTACAGGAACATCCATAAAACCCAAGATTTGGTGATGCAGACACGTCTGATCAGGATCTCATGAACTGCGTAGTCCAGCCATCATCAGTATTTCTTTAGCAGGAATAAAAAATAAATAAAAAGGGGGCACAACTTTAATTAAATAAGGATGCAGTTGCAGAAAATCCCCTTTGCTCTCGGGGCATTAAAGGCACCAGGTAGAATAAACACGCTGAGGTTGAGTCTCTACAGGTGCTTAAGAGTGAAGACTTGTCATGTTTTCACCTTCAGCGTGCCTGAGACTGGCACTTTGACGTCTTTTTCTCCAGCTGGCAGCAAACTGACAGACTCTTAATAAAATTTGTGCGAGTGCTGCAAAACATCTCGTCTAACGATAGAGCCGGGAGGCTAAGATGGAATCATTTTACCAGAAAAATCATCCAAAAAGCTGTAAGTGTCAGTAAAATGTTATCATCACTCCATTTTGGCTTTCATAGGATCCAGGAATTTCTGTCCCACCTAGAGCTTCCTTTAAAATCCATCTTATTAAAGACTTTTGAAGGAAATTTACATCCTCTATGCTAGTCCAAGTGCTGTGATCTTTGAGAATAAGGTTGGATGCCAAAGATTTCTTTAACCAAAGAGTTTTTTGAATTTAACAAGCTGTCAAGTCATAAATGATGGGCGGCAGCAGGCCATAAAAGTCCAAGCAAGGCGTTTTGAGTTTGATTCCACATTTTAAGCAACAACAAATGTGCTGCGATGAAAAACCTTAAAGAGGACAGAAGTTTGCTGTTTGTTAGTTTAGTCGCATATTTAGGGGATTTTTTTCAGAGCTATTTCGGGGCATTTATTTTTTTAAAATATTATTTGTAACGATGACACAACAGGAAGGTTTCTGGTTGCTTTAAATGAAAAGTTGCACATTCAGGCTTGTTTATGCAACAACTCCTGTTCCTCAGGACTGTGGAAGCAAGGCAGTAAACACACATTTACATTTAGACTGCGTCTTTATTTGTACGCATACTTCTGAATGTGTAAAACTGTTTCTTTCTGCTAGACGTAGGGTTGTCACGGTGTGAAAATTTAACCCCACAGTTATTGTGACCAAAATTACCACGGTTTTCGGTATTATTGCGGTATTTTTTTAAACTTGTTACATTTTCAGACAGCTAAATAAACCCTGTATGTCAGGAAAATATTGTCCTCAGTTTGTGTTTAAATTTTACCTAAAATGTGTTATTTTGTAATTATGTTGTTTATTTGTTTACATGTTTTCTCTTTAGTCTTTAAAATACCAATATTTGCCCATAACTTCTTATTTTTTGTCTGTTTGATGTCATCATTTTAAAAATATTAGATCAGATGATACTCAATACTCAAGTAGCCTTCTAATCAAATACTTTTTTACCCTTACTTGAGTAATAAACCCTAAATCAGGAAAATGTTGTCCTCGGTTTGTGTCCTTCCAGTGAGCTTTGCAGATGTGGGAAAATGTCATCAGGCAGTAATCATTGTTAAATTCATAATTATTCTCGGAGAGAGACCAACTCTTATCTGCCCCTGGGAGCCCCGTAATGCATAGCATCATTTCAACATGGCGTTGTCCGCGACACGGTTTATATGCAGGTAGCGGCGCTGCGGTTGCTTTATGTAGCGACTCGTTGCATTCTCCCTCAACCCAAATCCTCGGATCACGCATTTTAGCTAAAACGCTAACGTTAGCTTGCCTTGCGTTGACTGTAGAGTTGTGGGTGATGGTCACGCAGATGTGTCATGAGATTTTAAGCGTTGCTGCCTTTCACAGACACTTTTTCTGCACGTGCTGCAAACAGGATAGCCGTTTTCTATCAGCTGTCCCTCGGCATTCTTCAAATATCCAAAAAGTGCCCGTACTTCCCACTTTGTCTTCTTTGAGGGATAATAAATGTCCTGAGCGCTGCCGTCTCCTCCTTTGGCCATTATTTCAGCTTTAGCTTCAAGAAAGTTTTGGTTGTAAACAACAAAGTGCGCATGTGCTGCCGGCAACTTCAGCAGATGATACGGTGGCTGGTAAGGGTCACCGCGCCTACACCCCAGCCACAGTAATCCACCGAGATAATATAGTTTTTTAAAAAACAAGACGGTTATTATTATTGTCAACTTTTTTACCGGGGTTTACCGCTACACCGGTTACCGTGACAACCCTAGCTAGACGTTCTCATTGGTTTGCATTAGAACTTGGGTTGACTTGCATAATTTCCTGCATTTGTATAAGCTTTACCCCCGACACCCTTGGTAACAAAGACCATGTTCAGCTGCATTAGCCTAAAAAAACGAAGAAGATCCTCATCCCCACAGTCTCTTACTCATCTGCTGCTTCGTTGGATTTCTAATAGGTTCAGATCCAGGCTGCACATGATGGATTGATCTCTTGTTTAGGAACGCCATCTGTCGGCTTCATAATTGATTCCTGTTTGTGGAAAAACTTCACCAGCTAGAGCTGCTGTAGGCAGTCACTAAAACGGATCAGATTGGTCCGAACCAGGTTTCTATTTTTATTTCAGCAGTGGGCTGAAGAGCCACAGTAGCTCCAAACTGTTTTCAGACCTAAACCTAAAAGATGAAGGTCAGGATTCATCTTCAGGATGGTGTCACTGAGACAGAGAGGCTGCTGTGTGCAGAGAGATGGGAAAGCCAAGCTCTGACTGATGGACTGCCGCAGAGTCACGGCTCTTCAATCAAACTCGGGACCTCAAGAAAAAGGAGATTCATCCCACAGCATCTGTGACGGTCTTGATATTTCATGGAAGCACCATTTTCTTCAAGGCCTCTTTACTCTGTACTCACCCACATATGGATCTGAACAATGTTCAGACTCTTTAGCTCTCACAATAATGGAAAAATGGGGTGAAAATGACATTCATGTTGCAAAACAAGATTGCATTTCCCAACTTGAGGCTACGGATTCCATCTAAGCTGCCGTTTCTGGATGTTCACACTCCTCCTGAAGGCTTCCCAATGCTGATAGTTGCCATTTTTTCTAGGGATGCACCGATACCGATTCCAGTATCGGTAAAAGTTAACCGATACCAGGAACCGATACCAATGCAGCTGCTTGAAAGTGGCTTCACTGTAAATTGGCGTTTCTGTTCACTTAATATTTTACTTTGTGATGTTTTTGATTCATATATTTTACTTTTTATCTACCTCAGTCTTTTCCTGTTGAAAGCAGAGAAGAAAATTTAATCTGTATTCCAAATCATTGCATTTTAGTTCGCGGTAGAAGTATCTGTATCAGCAGTCGGTATCGGCGAGTACTCAGATCCAAGTATCGGTATCGTATCGGTTTGGAACAAAGGGGTATTGTTGCATCCCTAATTTTTTTCTATTTGTGAGTCAATTCTACCTAAGATGTGTTTGTTTTCCCTGGTATCACCATTTCACAGAGTTGACATATGCTGATGCATTTTTCTGTGCAAATGAAACTCAAAACTAACTTTATTTTGTTTCCAGGACACCCCCAGATCTGGAAGTGGGCGCCACAAGAGGTGAGGCTCATTTTAATTTTTTTTCTTATTCATCATTACAACAAATAGAAGTCAGGCTGAAAATCCCCAGTCTGAGTTCTTATTCCAGGAGCTGTCAGAGGGATGCCTTTGAAGCATCACTGCAGTGTTTTCCCTTCAGTGCAGCTTATTTCTCGCTGCTACGGGTTCAGGAGGGATGATGGCTGTTTTTTGAACAGTAGCTGACAGGACACCATCTGGCCCTGTGACACTTTGTTCAGGCCATCACTTCCCTGCTGTGGCAGGCAGGACGCGCTGAAAGTAAATGTCTCGCTTTTGTGCGGGAAATGATTGCGTCGGTTTGGTCAGGTGTGCTGTGGCATGTGATAAAGGGCTTCCAAAGTCCTCCCGCCAAACAACCCACAAATTATTTTCAATCACTTTTTGCTGTTTAAGTAAACGTTTGGGTCAAAACACCTGGACAATGAAAATGGTGAGAACACATTTTAAATCAGATTTGCACATTTATGCACCAAACATTCTGTTTTGTTTGTCTACATTCATACTTAAAAATCAAGTTAACCAAAGAAAATTATATCATTCCATTGTGTATTTGTTTTCTGATACTTGCAGCCGAAATGAGCAGTTGTGGCCGACTTATAGCCCAGTTTTCAAGCTGACATTCAATCTGTCCGTGTAATTATGGCTTCTGCTCCCATCAGCCGGCCTGGCTACACTTGGACGCTCTGGGAGTCTCTGACGGATAACCTGCCAGGTGGGCTGGGCAGCACAACATGGCTAAAAGATCAGAAGTGCACAACACTGTCTGATTTAGCAAAAAACATCCGTTTGCACAAGTTAGCTCTGCTTTTCATAAAAGTAAATGTGCCATTAAAGTTGTTACAGCAAATCTGCAAACCAACTAGGTTAAGAACACAAACATGGTCTCAAAGAACTCACGCCTCCCCTTGGCTATCTTTCCTGGATCCGCATCCACTGCAACCAGAAACCCCCATTGCCAGAGGAAACGAGAGCACTGAACACCGGTCGCCGTTTTCTACGTTCAAGTGTCTTTTGTTGTCCGTGACTTTAGTTGTTTTTCTTTTTGGGACCAGTGTTGGGAATGTTACTTTAAAAAAGTAATTAGTTATAGTTACTGATTACTTTGTCAAAAAAAGTAACTCAGTTACTAACTGAGTTACAAGATCATAAAAGTAACTAATTACCAACAAAAATAACTACTTAGTTACTTTTTTCATTAAAGAATGCAAGAATTACTACAATAGAAAAATATAAATGACTGACTGGAACTTAATAAAATGTCCAAATGTTTTTTTTATAAACCTGAATAATTTAAATAAATAAGCACTTAACAGGAGGAACTACTAACAGGAACATTAAACTAATCTAGACTATTAAAGGTCTCTGTGTGATATTTAACAAGACCCCAATCAGCTAAAATTTAAAATTGCAAATAGAAACACCTATAAAGGTTCCCGAGCCTTTAAATGGTCTCTCGGTCTAGTTAAATTACAGAAATAAATGTAATTTTGCCCAGCATTTTAATTTTTCCAGCTTCACATAATTGTGTGTTTTTAGCAGCATTTCTGTTGCTGCTAATCTAGTAATGGTTAAATACATAAATAAAATCCTTTAAAATGACACTAGGAGAGGCACAAGCCTGATGGAGGACTTACATTTACTAACTTGGGTCAGACCCAACCACAGAAGAGCTGAAGCTGGGTGGTAAACACACACAGGTAGTTCTAATAACACCTGAGCTCTATGACGTCTGAGACTGATGCATCAGTGTTACAGCGGGACTAAAGACATCATCAGAAACAGGTTACAGCTGGATGATCTAGGAAGGACGAAGATCAGGACGTCTGAGCGGTGAACAGGTGAGCGGACCTTCGAACCTTTCCACTCAGTTCTCCCCACCGGCAGCTCTGCGCATCTCAGATCGCAGCGGCGCTTGTCTGCTATGCGGCTGCCGGCTTGTGGAGCTTTCGGGAGACCTCTGTGTTCCACCCGGTTTTACCCAGGGGTCAGCCCGGCGTATCTCTGACTCAGAAGCTCTGGTGTTGTGCACAATTATCTCCGGTTGTAGCTAGGTTGCTACCTCCGTTAGCTTAGCTCCCACCTCTGCGTTAGCTTTGGGTTAGCTTCAGGTTAACTTGTAGCTAGTTCGACCGGGTGTCGTCAGTTGATCCCAGCCTTACAGCCCCACCCTCAGCTCCACCTCTCTTCCCTTTTGTGGAATTGTCTGGGCTTGACGGAACCTGTGACACGGTCAAAATGGTGGTGGTGGCCACCTCCCATTTAGCTTCAAAAATGTGTTATTGGAGTCTATGGAAACCCATTGTCCAATATTTATATGTCGATGAGTGTAAAGCGCTTTGGAGTCTTCTGACTCTGAAAGTCGTCACCGCCCTTTAAAACTTAATTTATCAACTTGTGAAAAAACGGAAACATTTTAGAGTCAACATTTTCATTTGCCACATTTCTGTTGATATAATTCTAAAAATATTTACATTTCAGTTTCCACTGTTTGAAATATCATTTTTATAGTTGTAAGTAAACGTAATTTATTTATTTCATTTCATTATTTTTTTTTTACAAAACTTGGTTTGAGGAAAGTTTATTGTCAGTCAAACAAATTTTTTATTTATTTATAAAAAAAATGTAAGCTTACAGCATTTTTCTGAATGATTAATGTTTATTATAAAGACTTTCTTTGGCTCCTGACAGATTCATAAAGTTGAATGAAAGTTAAAGGTGCAATATGTTAGAATGAAGTAAGACTGACATCCTGTGGTCAAATTTGGCTACTACAGCTCGTTTTTCTAAGCCAAAGTTACTTTCTCGTTACCATTCCATGAGTATCATGGTCCTTGCCAGTTATGGATCAGCACCAGAAGGTTCTAGATGAAAAGCTAAGATGAGTCAATCACAGTAAGTTGATAAGTAGATTAATACATTGTTATATCTGGTGTTAGAACTCTTGGGTGTTTTACAGTAGGGAGCACTTACTACACGTATAACGGTAATATTTCTCCAGCATTAGAGGAAGTATGCTTGTTTGTTATCTTGCTGTTAGCTTGCTGTTATGGTTCTGAACGACTCATTAAAAGAAGTAAAACACCACAATCGACTTATATTTCACTGCAATATCGAGTTGTTGGTGATGGGAACAATTAGCTTGAGATTTTTTTAGAGCCAACTATTTGCTTCTAATTCACAGTTAGTATTGTTAGCTCAATTTTAGCCTCTGTTCTTCTTTAGCTGATATTAGAATAAAAATAAAAGGTGCCCTGGCTAGGGATGGGTACCGAATTCGGTACTTTGTAAAGTACCGACCGAATTCCATAGTACTGACCGAGCACCGATTCACGACATTTGAAACGGTGCCTCGTTTTGGTACCTGTCCTTCTTAACGACAACTTGCCAAGACAGCTGCGCATGCGCAAGAGCGTTATGTCGTCGCTCGCTGCGAGCCAGTTGTAAACAGAGCAGCATGCAAAGAATGCACGCTAAAGCTTGGGTCCACTTCACTAAATGTGATGGTTAACTGGGTGATGATGAAACCAGCGACAACGATCTAAGTGAGACATCCTCATCTTAATCTGCTCCGGTAGGTAAATAAAATAACGTTAGCTTGATTTGTTAGCTTCCGTTTCGCTAATGGTACATTTGCTTTCTCCTCGGAACTCCGAATTTCCGACTAGAAGAACATGAACGCGCTCTAAAGTTTGGCTTCACTTTACAACGATCTAAGTGTGAGGCATCATCGTTTTAATCTGCTCCAGCAGTTAAATAAACTCTTTAAGATAACGTTAGCTTGATATGTTAGCTTCCATTGCCACCGTTGTTATCAGCTAATGGTGCGTTCGCTTTCTCCTAGGAAATTCTAACTTCCCAGTAGTAAAAATCAAATGAAAAAGGACTGCAAAAGGAATGAAGATACACAGTAAATTTAGTTCACAGTAAAGATGTTTGCTTCAGTTTAATTATCAGCTTATAAAACTACAAAAGTGGCCATGCTGTGGACCCCAGGACGCGGTAAACGGAAACAAGGACGGCCAAAAATCACATGGCGCATAACTTTTATCGAAGACCTACGTGCCGTGAACCTGTCATGGGATGAAGCCGAGGCCGTCGCGGCCGACAGAGCTCGCTGGCGATTACTTTGCGCCCAATGCGCCAGTAGGCGCCGGAGGAACTAAGTCTAAGTCTAAGTCTATAAAACTACAAGGACGAAGTTAAAATACAAACAGTTGTATGTTATTTATCGTGATATTTATCAAATATGGTTATATATTGAGAAAAATATATATTCAATTATAAAAGAGAATTAAAATATTAAACACTCAAAAGTATCGAAAATTGATACCGTTAAGTACCGGTATCGATTCCTAGGGACCGGTACCCATCCCTAGCCCTGGCTTCTTAGGGGGACAAGAAGTAACTTCTGAGTTGCTGCTGTTTACTGGCGTTGGCTCTTTAATTCGACTCTGGAGATTTTTGCCTGCCGGTGTTGAATTACAAAGGCCGGTGCTGCAGCGTTAGCTCGCCGGAGACACGGCAATCCAGCGAGCTGGCAGATTATAAACAGTAACCACGTCCCTCTTTGACCATTATGAAAAGACAAATCTGACAACATCAGCTGAGAATGAAGTCTGTTTCAATATAACCTTCCTTCCAACATGATTGAGACTTTAGGCTTTGTTGTGAATTATTTCACTGTAGAATTCTTACATATTGCTCCTTTAAGAATTGTGATCTGATACCTTTCTATTGAAAGCCTTGTCATCACTTTTTAGTGTGACATAGGTCTTGTTTCTGCTCACTATACCAATGTTCTGTAAATTACCAGCCTCTAGAGTCCAAAAGGATCATTAGCATTTGTTTTTTAGGTTTTGTTAAATAATTCATCTGTTTGTGATGTTCAGAAAAAGGCAGTCCTGTTCTTTGTAGCCCATCTATCTGCTTTCCAGGGGGTTGTTTAGATCCACAACAGTGAAAATAGAAATTTTACAGTT